AATTAATAGGACCGGTCCATTCTTTTAAAGATTTAATTTATAATTAAATTAATTGGATATTTTAAATGACCCAAATTAATTTAATTAGTAAATTTTATTCAAACGGATCCATATTAATATTTTCCTCTTGAAAAGACGGATATCATTCTTGAGAAATCCAGTAGAATCCAAGTTTGACTCTATAAGAGGCCCAATAACATGGATAATAGCCCAGTAGCATTTAAATCAGTTTAATAATATTATGGACCATCATAGAATAATAAGTCCAAAATATTAAATAATTTTTTATATCCACAGAGTGACCTGTCTGTAGCAGCTTGTCTGTCCGTGAATTGGTAGAGGGGCCCTGCGCAGTAGATGATTGAGTGTCGGTGCCAATAATTTTCTCGACCGCAGGTCCTGAATCCTTATCTGATGGGGCCTCAGGCACATGGGTCGCCGGAGAAAGTGCTGGGACGCCGAAAAAAGAGGCGGATATCGTCTTCCCTTTTGTACAATGTTTGCAGTTTCTAGGGATTCCGCTTGTTATACTCTTGTCAATTTTAAAGTAGTTCATAAGCGTGCGGTGTTTTTCGTTGAGGTTTGTTGAGAGGTCTGGTTGCGAGGCGTCATGGATTCTGGTTCCCAGGCTGCAAAAATGATTCACGTTTTCAGCATTCCGAAGTTGTTCAGTAAATGATTTTTGGGGGCGTTGATTGGGCTGATGGTGGTGGCGCCGTCTCCTATTGACGGTGTGCCAGCCGTGGTTCAGCTCCCCTGTATTTGTACTGAGGGTGGTTTGACGGGAGTGAGGCCAAACCTTTAGGCTTTGATTAGCATCACGTTGATAGACTCAACCACTTCATTTCTCCTATAAAGCATCCCTTTCTTTCGCATTGTAGACATCGATCAATCAACCCCCTCTTTCATATATAGACATTATTCTTGTATTTTAGGTAGTCTTTTGAACTTGATTTTGCTATATTAAAATTTGTGTTTTGGAAGTTGTGAGTTATTTCTTTAATCTTCCTCTCCTAAATATTAATTACTTCCCTATTGATATATATATATAGGTTTTGGTTCAAATAAGAACATGATCTTATGGCAAAAATGAGAATAAATCTGGACCGTTAGATTTGCTTTATGTGAAATTCAATGTGCATTAGATGAATTTGTCATGTGTAATAAGTGAAATTGAAATGTGCAACACAAAGGGTATGATGTTGTGGCATTATGTGAAGCTAAATTGTGCATTAGGTGAATTTCAAATGTGCATTAGATGAAACTAAAATGTGCAGAACAAAAGGTACGATGTGATGTTATTTTTGTACGCCTTATTCTGCACATTTCAATTTCATCTAATGCACATGTGAGTTTAAATTTTTATTCTGCACATTTAAATATCGTCTATTGCACATTGCGATTTCACCCAATGCCCAATTTAGTTCCACATAATTCAATCCAACGGTCCAGATTCGTTCTCATTTTTCTCATAAGATCCGTTCTTACCAGAACCGCTCCCTATATACACCCATTTCTTTCCCATATTGATATTTAAGCATCGCTAAGTGATCAATTAGTTGATGTTTTCATATTAACTATTACTAGAATCGGTCAATAAATACGTTTGTTATTCACTTTGTCTTTTCATAAGTAATAAACTTGTATCGTTAATCCATGTGTCTCATGATTAATAATGTCAGAGGGAGTAATTATATTGATTCAAACAAAAAAACCCGCTTGTGTTGAGGTTGTCAATATTAATTGATTTCATTAGAATACATATGAATAAATTAGATAGAATAGCTGAATAAACAACACTACTTATCAAAAACCAATAGTTATTATTAGCCTAAAAACCTAAATTTTTTGTATTAATTATTTTACTATTCTACATTTAAAACATATATAGACCATTTGCAAGAGGAGCATTTCCACAAACAAAACTACTTAGCAAAAAACAATAGTTATTATTAGCAAAATGGAAGGAAACCCTTCAACATCTAACTTAGAAATGTAAATAATATTAGTTTCTATAGAAGGAATAGAATAATAATTATTTAATCCACTACAAGAAATCACACGTTTTATGACAAAAAATTGTGTGACACACAAAAATTGTCATATTATATTGAGTAATAGTTACAAAACACAAATTCATCACAATAAAGTGATTTGTTATGACAATGTTATTGTTTGTCACTTTAATTCTTATATTTTGTCACTAATTGATCTTTACTATGATAATAAGTTCTAACTCATCACTTCAAGTTTGAGCTCCAAAATTTGGCGCCAAATATCTGGAGGGAAACTTTTTGATGACATCTTTTGAACATTTAATGACGATAATTTGTTTCTCATAATTTTTTATTATTATGACAGGGTCACATTTTGTCATTAATTATTTTGTAAAATAATGACAATATTATTTTGTCATTGATGCTACCATTTGATGACAATAAATGTAAATGTGTCATAGTTTAGTTTGTAACAATATCTTTTCAAATAAAAGTAAGAGCAAAATTTATAGATGAAAAGGTCTTAATGAATAATGAATTTGTGATATCATATTATTTATGATGTTATTTATAATAAAAGAGTTAAAATTGATTATTTTAAAAAATGATGACATTTTTTTATTAAAGCTCGATTTTAATGCTAAATATTGCTAATAACTGTTAATATAACATTTTAATAAAGATAAGGTAACAAAAATTTAAGAAAAAATAGATTAGATATTATTGTTATATGTAAAGATAGTTTAGTTGTGTCGGATAATAATAATAATGATGTTTTTAATTAGACTACAATTTTATGGTTTAGTATGGTAGTCTGATCTCGTCTGATTTGATCTTGTCTTTATAAATCTATTCTAGTCTGAATTGGTCTGATCTGACCTATGTTTTTTTACAACTCTTGAAATTTGGTCTAATCTGGTCTAACCTGGTTAGGTTTGATGTAGTCTAATCTATTTAAGTCTAGCCTGATCTGCCCTGGTCTGCTGCGGGACTAAAATAAATCCAAATAAAAATATCATGATTTTTCAAACCCTTTCTATGATGTAACCACTAGTGCCAAACATGCATTCTAAAAATATGATTTAATATGAGTTAATGTTTAAAGATTATGGCACAGCAAGATGGGGTTGATGGTGGGTTAAATTTGTAAAAGCTAACATTTATTCCTAACATAACAGGTTATATCTATTCATAAATTATATCTAGCTCCAAAAACTCCTAAAGCCCAAAAATAAAAGAATGGCCCACAACTGCTAAGGTAGTGTTTGCAAACGCTTGAAAAAAAGCGCATCTCGATTTTTGGTTTAGAAAAGCTAAAAAGATTGTTTTCAAGTGATAACTTGTGTTTAAATAAAACACAAAAAAGTTAAAATCTAGAATCTGTTTTTACTTTTTCTATTACACAAAAAACACATATTTTACCAAACAATACCAACTTTTACTTTTCAAAATCATTTTTTTCTCAAACACTGCCAACTTTTACTACTACGTATTAAGCATTTCTTTCCAAAATCATTTTAAAAGGTAATTTTTTAAAGCACCACTATTGCAAATGCTCCTTAGATTGTGCGTACATAGTAACTCGTAAAGACGGCAAAGTCGCGAACTGCATCAAGCATCTTTCGTTCTTCTGACTTCCGTTCGCTGTTCGTGACTTGTGAGTGCCGAGTGAGTTCATCAGTGTGGGTATTGAAAATTATTTAATATTTTGAACTTAATATGTTATGATGGTTCATAATATTATTAAATACATTTAAATGTTATCGGGCTATTCTCAATTATATTGGGCCTCATTTGAATGCTACTGGGTCAATGATGAAATCTACTGGGCCGCTCATGATGATTAATGAACCTTAATGAAAGGAAGATAATATATGGATCCTTTGAAAAGTAATTTAGTTATTACATTAATTTGGACCACTTAAAAGATCCAATTAATTTAAGGGAAGTAAGCCTCTAAAAGAACAGACCGATCTTATCAATTTCTTTGTTCTGAGCCCGTTATCAAATAGTGACTCAATATATAAGAGAGATGATCCAATTGATGATGAGAACAATGAATCTGGTTAAGACATCCGTCTGTATGCATGGAAAATGACTGCAAACCTTGTCAAAAAAGTTGTCCAGATACATCGAACAAGTCCTGATTTTTCTAGCTATTAAATTCGAAGTAAATAGGGCTCAAAGCCTATTTTAATTAGGGCCCACGAGGCATGGGCGAATTTCTTCAACCCTAGGCCATATTTTATCCCCTCCACACCTATAAATAGGGGTATCAGATGAGAGGAAGGAAAAGAGAACTTCCAGTTGAAGAAACGTTGCCGAAAAAGCTCTTAAGAACTCCCGAGAGACTCTGAACGATTCCGAAGAAGAGGAAGAGGTCATGCCACAAATGTTATTAAGAATATACGAATAATCCTTCGTGATTTCGTCAATTCTTGATAAAATAAGTCCAAAAGTTGAACATTCGAAGATTTGAAGAACGAAGCTTGAAAATTCGAAAATCTGAAGAATAAGACTTTGAAGATTCGAAGATATGAAGAACGAATCTTTGAAGATTTAAAGATATTCATATGAAGATTGAATCGAAATTCAATTGAAGATCAAGCAATATATCCCGGGAAGCTCTTTAACAGGGGATCAAGCCACAAAACAGTCCTTTTTTTTTTGAAGATCAAACTACTTGAATTCAGAGGCCCTTCAAGCTGAATTTTTTATTCAAGAAAATTTGAAAATCCGAAGAACAAAGATTCAAAGAACAAAACTTTGAAGATTTGAAGATCCGAAGAAAAAAAGTTCGAAGATTTGAAGATCTGAAGAACGTTCGAATTTTTGAAGGATTACAGATTTAATTTTAAATTAAATTATTTAATTCTATTATTTCAAATTGCGAGTGCAAAATCAGAGGATTCATATTTAGATATTGTATCCAATATTCTCATATATTACTATTTGAAATCAATTTCAAGTAAGTACTTAAAATTTGTCTCCCTTCCCTAGTTTCTCAGTTCCACCGCGCCCCTGCCGTTCACTCCTCCATTTCTTTGAGCTCTGTCTTCTCTAATCGGCTGCTCCATTTCTGCTCTTCGCCTCAGATTTTGAGAGGTAGGTTTCTTAATTTCTTAATTGTTTACTTTTACTTTTAGGGTACCGTTTAATGTTTATATTCAGTTTAGTCCTTTAGTGGAATTACTGAATTTGACTCGTAGATTACACCTTTTTTAAAAATTGCAGAACTTAGAACTTAGAAGTAGGATTTCTATAAATTAAGATTTTCATGGAGGGCATTAATCGACTTGTCATTTGTGAGCATCATTCTAATTATTTTGAATTTGATTTTGATTTTTCATTATAAATCTCAAAATTTAGTATTAGTTTTATATTCTTACCAGTTTTTTCACTTGTTAGTGACTTAGTGATGCAGTAATCCCATTTTTTCCAATAAAAGTAATGAAGAGATAACTGTAATCCGTTGAAGTAGGAGCTAATGAAGACAGGTAATGCAGAATTGTAGTTGCCTCAACTAGTATTTAGTACTCCCTCCGTCCTGCTAACAATGGGACAAGAGGGAGTGACACGCAAATCAATAAAAAGTGGTTGATATTGAATTGATAAAGTAAGAATAAAGTAAGAATGATTTAGAGTCACACAAACTTTGCCAAATTTGGTATGGGACAATCTTAGTGGGACGGACTGATAAGGTAAAATGGGACAATCATAGCGGGACGGAGGTAGTATTTACTATTTGAAGAAACAAATATCAGGACTCTAATAACTCTAGTGTAATGAACAGGTGCTGGAAATAGGAGAACAAATACTAGCCAGGAATTGAGCAGGAACTTCCTGCAGTACCTTTTCATATAGTTCTTAAAAAATGAAAGTGAACGATTGTATAAAATTGAAGGGTTGGTTAATCAGCTTTGCAGCGATCAACAAAGCTGCACTGTAGGTCCCCACCGTAGGCATGCCCTCCCATTTATCAAAACTGTTGATATTCTGGCATGAAAGCCAACATTGCTGAAATCCATTAAAATCTATTCCAATCCATTGAAATCCGTATGATTCTATTAAAATTCATAGAATCTACTTTCCTTTAAAATAATTTAAAATCTGTGTTGGAGACACCCCTTAGAATTGATGATGATTGGTTTCATTAGCAAATAACACATCACTTTTGTCACTATTTCTTATGTATGACACTACAAAGCTTTGTCATTAACACTTTATAATGACGAAATATTTATAAACATGACGAAACAAGTAACTTAATTGTGACAACTTTGGTGTCTGTGGTGTCACCACTTCTATGAGATGATAGCATGAATCGTCGCCAAAAGTTATGTTTTGTTGACAATTTAAATATTTTATCATTTATTGTGTGAATTATTGGTGACAAAATATATATTTAGATGACAAAAAAATCGATATAAACGTGACACATTTAATGTCACGAAAAGTGATTAATAATGGTGACAAAAAGTTAAACGTCATTAAATGTTATTTATTTGGTGACGAATCAAAAATTTGTCACATATATCTAATACCATGGAGCTACGATGACGATCATTGTGACAATCATAATTTGTCATATAAAAGTTTTTGTGACAAAAAATGAATTTTACATGACGAAAAAAATCATCACATTATGTCAAAATTCTTGTAGTGATTCTACTATATAATCACTGGGTAAATGTAAGATATAAGTCCCTCATACACACACTATAACAATTTTTGTTCAATTTCCAACGCGTAAATCAATTCCACTTAGTTTAAGTGTGCTACAGTCACTTGAACCTTGAACATTATTGAAAATGTGTGAGGCATAAGATGATGTACCTAATACCCAATAGTGAAAGTTACTTGTTGACATATTAATTACTCCTTCCGTCCCAAAATGAACTTCACAGTCACTAATCACATGGTCAACTTGAATTACTCTTAATCTTATGTTTTATATATCAATTTTTTATCAAATTTATATTTTTTTTTATCAGCCTTTGTAGCGATTTTAATGTAGTTTCATTTTGGGACGGAGGTAGTATATGACAAAACTATCTAAGATAACAGTACCAAGTGTGACTTTATTAGCTTTCTATAGATCGTAATCTCTCCTCTAGCACCCCCTTTTTGGATTAGAGTCATACATCTTTGGTACATTATTGATTCATTTGAATTTTGAACCTTACCTTTAGATTTCAATGTTGCAGATTTAGGTCTAATCTTTTTCTTTTTTTGCTTGTCCTTTTCTTTAGGTCCACCTTCAGCATAGTTGTAACAATGTGTTTCTTATGAACATCCTTGTCAAACATGATGAATTCCGGAATATCAAGAATAAACTATTGGGCTGTTTTTCATTCTTTTGTATTTTGGGCCTTTATTTCCTATATTGGGCCTTAGTTCTCTTTAAGCATATATCATATATATTCTGAACAGTGTAATAGGTAGGGTTAACGATTCACATACTTACTTTTCTTCTTCCGCATCCAAAGAGCTCTGCGTTCTTCATACTGCCTTTCTTTCATTCAGACCAATTCTTCAATTCTACTGTTAATATGGTATCAGATTAGGTTTTGATCCTACAATCGTCTTCGTTTTTTCATTTCTTCATCTCGATTTCTATAATCGATTTGTTTCTTCTCTGAATCCTTCGATTCATAACCCTAGTTCTTCCTTCGCAAAACTTTATTGCGATGAATTCGAATGCTTCATTCCCTTTAAATCCTACTGAAGATCCATCTTCTCCTTATTTCTTGCATCCGAGCGATCACGTTGGCTTACGTATCATCTCTGAAGTGCTTAATGGTGAAAACTTCAATGCCTGGAAGAAGTTTGTCACGATGGCCTTTAGCGTCAAGAACAAGATGGCATTCATTGATGGCTCAATCACTCAACCGACTCCAGATAATGCTGTTGCTTATTCAGCCTGGTATCGTATCAATGCTCTACTTCTTTCTTGGTTAATTTACTCAATTACTCCTGAGATTCGCTCTACTTTCTAATACTTTACCTCTGCTAAAGATCTTTGGGATGAAATCCAGCTTAGGTATAGTAAAAGTGATGGTCCTCAAGTTTTCTACCTAGAAAAAACCCTAGGTAATATTTCTAAGGGTACTCAGACTGTTACAGCCTACTATAATGTGTTTAAAGGCCTTTGGGATGAATATGTCAATTTCAAAACACTTCCTTCTTGTTCTTGTGGTTTATGCACCTGTAAAATCAATGAGAAATATCAATTACTGCTTCAGAAAGAATCTGTTCAAAAGTTTCTGGTTGGTCTAAATGATTCCTATTCCAATTTAAGGAGTCAAATTCTTCTCCAAACACCTTTTCCTAGCCTTTCTAATGTCTACTCTTTCTTTCTACAAGAAGAGTCTCAAAGAAATCTTCAACATCCACTCAATTCTGTTCCATTTCCTTCTAACAACAACACTCATGATCCTCCTAATGCTGATTCGGTTGCCTTCTTAGTCAAAAACTCTAACAACAAAAAGAAATCTATCATTTGCAATCATTGTGGCTATCAAGGACATTATGCTGATAAATGCTTTCAAGTCATTGGATATCCTCCCAACTGGAAAGGACCAAAAGGGCTCAGAATTGCTCCTGGCTTCAAACAGCCTACACAATCTACACATTCTACAAAGAATACTCATGCTCATCTAGCCAATACAACCAATGATTCCACCTCTACTGACTTAGATCTCTGTGATCCTACTCTGTATAACAAATTTCTTGAGTTCATGAAAACTCAGAATGATAAATCTGCTTCTGCTAATGTTGTTATGGCTGTCTCACCACATGATCACTCACCTGATGCTTCTTTATTTCTAGGTAATCATTCTGCTTTCTTATCTACTGCTAAATCTTCTACTTGGATTCTTGACACTGGTGCTTCTGACCACATGACTCACAATTTCAGTTTATATACTTCTTCACCTAAACCTATATCTATTAATATTCAATTACCTACTGGTTCTTTCATTAATGCTACTCATATAGGTGATATCAAAATCAATAATGATTTTACTCTTCACAATGTATTATATGTTCCTCAGTTTAATTTTAATCTTATATCTATATCTAGTCTTGTTTCACATGAGAATATTTATGTTCACTTTACTTCTAATCATGCTACTTTGCAGGATCTGCTCACCAACAAAATGATTGGCTATGCTGATCTTCAAAGTGGACTTTATATCTACAATACTTCTAAACTTTTTCTTTCCAATAAACTGTCTCTTGTTAATTCTGCTAATATTCCGTCTTTAGACAATAAAAATGATGTTTGGCACTATAGACTAGGCCATCTGCCTTTCAACAAACTAAAATCTATTGTTGATTGTACTGCTCATCCTCATATGAATAAAAACATTCTTTGTGATATATGTCATTTTGCTAAACAAAAACGTTTACCTTTTCCTGATAATACTTCTTATGCTTCTCATGCTTTTGATCTTGTTCATATGGATGTATGGGGTCCTTTTAGAGTTCAATCTTATTCTGGTTTCAGATATTTTTTAACCATTGTTGATGATCATACTAGATGTACTTGGGTTTTTATGATGAAAACCAAATCTGAAGTTAAATTTCATATGATGAATTTTTATAATCTCATTAATACTCAGTTTCATACTAAAATTAAAATTATTAGAACTGATAATGGTACTGAATTTATATTTCCAAATTTTTATAATACTCATGGCATTATTCATCAACTTTCATGTGTTGAAACTCCTCAACAAAATGCTAGAGTTGAAAGGAAACATCAACACATTCTTCAAGTTGCTAGATCTCTTTTATTTCAATCTTGTTTGCCTCTTATTTTTTAGTCTGATTGTATTCTCACCGCTGTTCATATCATAAACAGATTACCTATTGCTATTCTTAATAATAAATCTCCTTATGAATTGTTATATAATCAAGTTCCTGATTACTCTCATTTAAGAGTTTTTGGATCTCTTGTGTATGCTTCTACTTTAACTGCTGATAGATCAAAGTTTGATAAAAGAGCTGTCAAATGTGTTTTTTGTTGGTTATCCTTTAGGTTCTAAAGGTTATAAACTATATGATATTGCCAATCATAAATTTCTTATATCCAGAAATGTTAAATTTTATGAAATGATTTTTCATTATAAAAACAATTCTGATTTGTCTAACTCTACTCATTCTGATCACACTCTTTTTGAAACTAATGATCTCTCTTCATATAACTACAATATACACTCAAATGTTTCTACAGATTACTTACAAAATCAAATTAATGAGGAAATTAATCTTAACAATTCCCATGATTCTACCAATTTCAATGATTCTAGTACTTTACAGACTAATCCTTCTATTCCAGAAGATCAATCTCACAGAAAATCAACAAGGGTAAGATCTTTACCTATTCATCTTCAAGACTACACTTATGATTTACCTAATTCTATCACTGCAGGTACTTCCCAATCCTCTTCTTCTTGTAATTTAGCTAGATATCCTATTCAAAATTATATCACCTATAATAGATTAAGTACTTCTCATTCTTGCTTTATTGCTGCTCTCTCTAAAATTACTGAACCCAAAACATACAAACAAGCTGTCAAATTTCCTGAATGGCAAAATGTCATGTTAACAGAAATTCAAGCTCTTGAAAAGAATAAAACTTTGATTTTAGTTACTCCACCTTCAAATCAAAATATAATAGGCTGTAAATGGGTTTTTAAAACTAAACTAAAACCTGGTGGTTTTTAGAAAGATATAAAGCAAGATTAGTTGCTAAAGGTTATACTCAAGAAGAAGGTTTTGATTATTTTGATACTTTCTCTCCTGTTGTCAAAATTACTACTGTTAGAATTATTTTAGCTATTGCTAGTGCTAAAAACTGGTTTTTACATCAATTGGATGTAAACAATGCCTTTTTACATGGTGATTTAAATGAGGATATTTTTATGCAGCCTTCTCCAGGATATTTAGCTGCTACTGATAACAGGGTTTGTAAACTCACTAAAAGCCTTTATGATCTTAAGCAGGCTTCTAGACAATGGTTCCGTAAGCTTTCTGATTCTCTAAAATCCTTTGGTTACACACAATCTAAAGCTGATTTTTCATTATTTACTAAATCTAATAACAATTCTTTTACTGCTCTTCTAATATATGTAGATGATATAAATCTTGCTGGAAATAACATGGATGAAATTAATGCAGTAAAAACTTTTTTAAATAAAAAATTTACTATTAAAGATATAGGTGAACTAAAATATATCCTAGGTATTGAAGTGGCCAGATCTGATAAAGGTCTAAATCTTTGCCAGAGAAAATATACTCTTGATATTCTTAATGAATATGGTTATTTACAGTCTAAACCTTATACTACTCCAATGGATCCAAAATTAAAATTTTCTAAAAGGGAAGGTACTGTTTTGAATGATCCTAAACCTTATAGAACATTAATTGGCAAATTATTATACTTAACTGTTACTAGACCTGATATTGCTTATAGTGTTCAAGTTCTTAGTCAATTTCTTTCTTCTCCAACTGACATTCATATGAGTGCAGCTCATAGGATTCTAAGATATCTTAAGAACTCTCCAGGTAAAGGTCTCTTTTATTCATCTATTTCTGATTTTTGTATTCAAGGATATACTGATTCTGACTGGGCTGCTTGTATAGACACTAGACGAAGTGTTTCTGGTTATGCTTTTTATCTTGGTAACTCTTTAATTTCTTGGAAATCTAAAAAACAACAAGTAGTAAGCAGATCTTCTACTGAAGCTGAGTATAGAGCTGCTGCCAATGCAGTTTGTGAAGCTCAGTGGTTATACTATATTCTTTGTGATTTACATATTCAGTTTACTTTACCCATTACTATTCATACTGATAATAAATCAACTTTTCATTTAGCCCATAATCCTGTCCAACATCAAAGAACAAAACATATAGAATTAGATTGTCATTTAATTAGAGAAAAAATTAATTCTGGTTTAATATCTTTGACTCATATTAAGAATAATTTTCAACTTGCAGATATCTATACTAAAGCACTTGGAAATCCTCTTTTCAATGAATTTGCAGTCAAGATGAGCATGATGGACATCCATGCTCCTCTTGAGGGGGCGTATCAAGAATAAACTATTGGGCTGTTTTTCATTCTTTTGTATTTTGGGCCTTTATTTCCTATATTGGGCCTTAGTTCTCTTTAAGCATATATCATATATATTCTGAACAGTGTAATAGGTAGGGTTAACGATTCACATACTTACTTTTCTTCTTCCGCATCCAAAGAGCTCTGCGTTCTTCATACTGCCTTTCTTTCATTCAGATCAATTCTTCAATTCTACTGTTAATACGGAATGTTAAAATTAGGATTTTCTAAACATAGGTGTGTCCCATATACAATATTTAATTGTCTTTAAACCAAATACATATTCTATTTTGAGTCCAAAAAGTTTGATAGGTGTCATCTTGCATCTATCTCTTAGTGTAGTGACGTGACTATAGTGATAATATTCGTCATAATAATTTTCTTCCAGTTTTTATTCTTTGACCATGATACTATACTATAGTAATCTTGAGTCGTATTTTTATAAATAAGTTCTATTTCAACAATATTTTTGAGAAAATATATTTTCCTATTTGATAAGTTTTTATCTAGAAATACATGAATACATGAATACGTTTACTTTTTTCGCACATTCCATCTTTTTCATACTTTTTCATGAAAAAGATGTACCTACCCTTAGTATTTAAGTTTTAAAGTTCATATAATCTATCGTTTATACTAGGGAAAAATACTCCAATATTACTAAAACTCATTAGTTTTCCTAGAATATGACCATACATGATTTTTTATGTTGGATATGACTCAAATCATTTCTAAATACATGGGGATTCCAATTTATTAGCTACGTTAGGCATATCATTTCCTATTTATTAGGGATTAAAATGAATGGCATACTCCAATTTGCATAGAAATAGGAAGAATGATGTGGAAGGCTATATGGTTATGACTAAAAAATAGGGATGGATATTAACACATGCATAGATGGATGATATCATACTAGTAAAAAAACATAAGTAGTCATATTTTAGGAAAATTCTTCAGTTTTAGTAATATTAGTGGTAATTTTCTCTTTATACTATCCTCCGTTTTTTAATAGCAACATGTTGAATTTTACACTATTCACATGTTCTACTTTGAACACATTTTACACTATTATTTTATGAAAATTATTTTTTTAAAAAAATATTGTTCAATTCATCTCATTACAAATTTTCAAAAAAGGTTTTTTAATTTTTTTTACTAATACAGAATAAGATATATTTATGGTCAAAGTTATGCGTTATCAAATGTGAAATGTTCACCGTTACAACTAAAAGAGAACGGAGGAAGTATTTTTTTTCTACACTATTACCCTTGGTATTTAAATTTTAAAGCTTGTACTGTCAGGGTGGACGAAAATGTGGAGCTTATTTGTTCCCCCAAAAATAAAACACTTTTGTTGGCAGGTAATGACTAATGTGCTTCCTACGGCGGTTAATTTATGAAATAGGCATGTGGATCTACCTGTGGAGTGTCAACTTTGTCAGGAAGAGGAAGAAAGCTCTTTGCATCTATTGCAGGACTCTAGAGCCATTGCAGAGGTTTGGAATAAAATGGGTAATAAATTTTATTTCCAAGCTAACTCTATTATTGACTGGATGAAATAGGTTTTTGAGAAGGTGACAGAAGAGGATCTATGTTCTTTCATTGTTACTCTGCAGTATTTGGAAAGCTAGGAATGAAGTAAATTGGAAAGAGGCACAATTTAATGGAACCCATTTTATCCAAATGGGGGTTGCTACACTAAAGAGTTGGCGGTCGGTGCAAAGTAAAAATACAAGTGTTGGTCCAAGGAATACAGAGCACTCTAGATGGAAGAAACCAAATGCACGTCTGATAAAGATTAATCTTGATGGAGCACTTGATCTTATCAATGGTGGACGGGCTTGCAGATGGGCAGCGTGCGATCACACTGGGCTCTTTATTAGGGGAGGAGTTCTTTCTAGCACAACTAGTTGGCCACCAGATTTCATAGAAGCTCTCTGATTACGGGATACTATTTTATGAGCAAAGCAGCAAGGGTGGACAAATGTGGAGATTAAAATAGATGCTCGGGTAGTGGTCTCTCGACTGACTAATGAGGTGGGGATTCCTACTTAGACCTGATTGTGGAAGGTATCAAACATTTGCTTTGTGATGAAGCTTGTATGTTGGTTAATTATTGTACACGGTCCGCGAATCGTGTGGCTCATGGTTTAGTTAAAACTGCCATTTCTATGTCGGATGCTAGAGTTTTCTATGAGTTGGCTCTCCCTCTTGTACTCTTGGCCATTTGACTAATGACTCTCTGAATTAATATAGTTTGGCGTTTTACTCTAAAAAAAACTTCTAAAGTTCGTATAATATATCGTTACAATACAAATAAATAAACAGGTAGAGAGTTTGGTATAGATATCATTTTTTAAAGGGAAAATCGCATATATGGTCCTTCAGTGATCCACGAAATTAAAATCTCAAACATGTATTTGTGAAATTGTAAATGTCACCTCTCAATTGTCGAAAATGCTGTAAATGTAGTCCTTTTGAGGGGTGAAATATACAATGTGGGCGAGAGTACCTTTCACCACTTAAAGACCACATTTACAACAATTTGGACAATTGAGGGGGTGACATTTACAATCTCAAAAATACAGGTCTGAGATTTTAATTTCATGGATAACTGAGGAACCATATATGCGATTTTCCCTTTTTTTAATATAGTATAGATATCATTATTAATACCAAGAATAAGGAAAATGAAAGATGGTAAAGAGGACCATCTTTTGCCTGTCATTCGGTCACCTAGGGGCGAACTTATACTTGTTCCAAAGTATTCATGTGAACACCCGAATTTTTTTTCTAATATTGTAAAAATACATGTATATCAGTATATGAGTGTTAGTGTTAAAATTTATATATACATATGAACACCCAAAATTTATAAAATTAATTTGAACCTTCAAAATTCATGTCCAAGATCCGCCATTAAATACTACAAGAAAGAGAAAAGAGTGGAAGCTCAAGTGTGGCTTTCCCAAACCCAATCGTGGACCATACGATCTCTCTCACCTTATAGACATATGTAATGCTTGGGTGTGTAGAACGCATTTTTCTTATTTGCCAACAAATTGTATTGACCAAAGGGTATACATACATGATACATTTATAGCTCAAACATATATGATATATAGAATGAGAACATGATGAAAGAAGAAATTAAAATGAGAACAATTCATGAGTCTTTCATTTAGATATTGTGTATTGTGTGAAACTGAAATAAACACTATCATAAGTTAGCAGATAATCATAATATGCATTTGAATTGTGCATTATTTTAATCACAAATGTGCACATACGAACTATGCATTATTTTAATGATAAATGTGCATCTCTGTGAACCATAATGTGCATACTTTTGGATCGTTCACATTTGTAACGGAATCGGACCCTATATATAGTATTGCACATTCTTGTTGCACATAATGTTCAATTTTATTCCAACGCTCCAGATTCATTCTCAAATGTCTTCATAGATCATGTTTTTATTTGATCCAAATTATATATATATATATATATAGCTGAATAGGTATTTTTATTGTTTTAGTGCTCTAATTTTCGATTGTACCTGCTATTGATCATGTAACTTTGTTCATTTGTTGATTTAGGGAGCGTTTGTGATTACTTTTACTTTTAAAAAGTGATTATTTTCAAGTGATTTTGGAAAAAGTGTTTAATAGTAAAAGTTGATAGTTATTGAGATAAAAGTGTTTTTGAAAAAATAAAAGTGGATAGTGTTTGATAAAATAAGTATTTTTTGTGTTATAGGAAAAGGGGTGCCTATATGGTACATCCGGGTGTACGTACTCCCGGCCCAATTAAGGGAGACAGTCCAGTAACTGATTCAGGCCAAAAAAAATCGGTGACATTTTTGTAATTTAAGCGAAAACGGACGACTTCAGCTAAATGAGCAATAATGTACTTTTAAAATATGCATTATTGATATGGCATTTTAAAATGAGCATACCATTACTACTAAATGAGCATACATAACTTACGAAATGAGTATCAAAAAATTTAAAAAACTCATTTTTGTGTGCTCATTCATTTTGGACGTTATACTCATTTGAATTTAACATAAAAATGTGAATCTAATGTAGTATAATATATTTGAGAGATGCATGAATATGTCATTTTAAAATGAGTATTACACCAATTTCAAATGAGCACACATAAATTACGAAATGAGAAGTTGTAAAATATTAACACACAATGTTAAAATATAATATTAACATTTCATATAAGGCTGAAACTCAATGATTTAAGATGGCCATCGATCAGATAATTGTAGTCTGAATTTTATTCGATCGACATATATGAATTATGAATTCCGGAAAATTACTCTTCATCTCGATGGCGCCAAAAGAAAGAGAACAAAAAAGCAGAGTAGCAGCACTTGTGAATTTTCAACACCTAAAACAGTAGAGTAATTAGGCTCAGAAGGATCCATTGGTTTTATAATCACAAGGGAAAATGATTTTTCCTTTCAACAAGAAAAAATTATAAATTTTAAAAGAATAATTACAATTCTAAAGAGAAGAACCAGAGGCAGAATTCGTCGGGGAATGAAGATGCGCCGTGGGAAGGAATTCAAATGCGGAAGACATCGTTCGGTGGAATGAGTATGAACCATTGGAGTTGTAATTAATTGCAAAAATACCCGGATGTACGGTGAAGACCGTACATCCCAGTGTACGGTATAATTTGCGATAGGAAAAGCGAAAAAAAGTTTTAAGCATCTCTCTACCAGCTTCTAGCTTTTAGCTTTAAATTGTTTTTTAAGTAGAAGTATGTATTAGCAAACACTTTTTTGACCTTATTTTAAGTTAAAAACTGAGAAGTGCTTATTTTAAGTATTAGCAAACACTCCTTTAATTATGTAAGTATGCAACTAATAAGTCTCTCTATATTAAAGAGTTTACCACGGCAAAGTATATTTTTTGCTAAAAACGTACCGCGAAAAGATGTTCAACATTGAGTTTTGTGGAGGAAGATATACGTTGCGGTGGAAAAGTCATCGTGGAACCGTTCATCAAGTGCAAGGCCAAATGAGTAAAGTTACTCGACAAAAATACAAACTAAAAGTTACAATATACAAGAAATATAAAACTCTACTCTAATTTGTTTATGTATGATCTTCTCATCGAAGTTTGAAATCAACTCAAATAAAAACATATCCCATTGAGAGTTAAAAGGATTTTTTACCCTTTTCAATTCGAACCCGGCCTTAGCTTGTACGTAGTATGAACATAGCCTTATATCTGGTCTTTCTGTCAAATTTTAATTAGAGAATCGTCCTACCTTATTTGAGTTATTTCAAGCATCCTGTTCTCAGGATTGGCTTAGGTCACTTAATTAACAAGACCCCATAAGACACCAGTGTCGACGTTCAAACCAAAGTTTTATTCACCTATCATTCTAGCCTCACGTTTATTTTCAAAAGCGTGTAACGTTTTATTTTTTTTGAAACACTGAAAATTTGTAATGTTTTATTGACCTATCACTATAATAGTACCATAGTGACACACTACTTAAGTACCCACCAGAACATTTTGAATTTAACTGATTGATTAGATTGATTATTTCAAATATTTCGTATAATTAAAATAAGGATAAAGTTCATGAATATGATGACTACTTTTAATTCCTAAAATCTGACTCTTTCATTTTTTGGAAGGTTTTAGTCACGCATTCTGTATTAAATACGTTCTATTTAAAAAATAAAACATTATTGGTCTTATTTTAGAACTTTATCTATCATTTGATATTATATTCAGAAAATTATGTTGATTAAATTGCAAATTGAACTCCCTCGACCGCAGAAACTCGCTCAAAATGCAGCGGCAACGCTTAGGCTATGTTTGGCACGTAAAAGTTGGTAGCGTTGAATAAGAAAGACCTTACTCTAATTGTTTGTTTGGTCCAATCACTTTTTTAAAAAGTAGGATCTTTTCTTGAAGGCAAGCCAGGGTAGCGTTGAATAAGAAAGACCTTTTTCTTCTTTCCTCTAATAACCCTGTGCACCCATTTTTCTTCTTTCCGCCTTTCCTCGTATAACCGCCGTTCTTCTCCAACTTCATTCAACAGTGCGCACCAAGTCTACAAGTTTTTCTTTCAACGGTGCTCTCTCCAAGCAGGTATGTTCAATCTTCTTCCTATTATATTGTCTTTGTTAAATGTTTCATCTATCTCTGCTCTTAGCAGATGTTTCTTGATTTTTTATAGTTTTGATTAACAATTCATAACTAGTCTGTGTAATACTGTATAAAACTGGTAAAAATTTTACTCAAAATATTTGAACTTGTATTGAATATGATTTGTGCCTAGTAATTTTACAGGTCGGTTGTTTTCATTAGGAATTTTATCTGTTTTTTTTCATCAATTCCATTGCAGGTTTTTGTGTTGTGTTTTGTTACTCCTGCTTTTTTCATATTTATTGTTTTTTTGGGAGTTTTTCTGTTTTTTTTTTTGCTCAAAGTCATTGCAAATTTTGTTTATTGAATGCTCTAGTTTTGTTTATTCAGATTTCATTGGGTTTGCTTGTGTGTTTTTTGCTCTGTTTTTAGTTTTCAGATTTGTTTTTCAATTTTTGTATACGCATCAGCTAACTCCAATTTTGTAAAGCACTTGTTGATCTGCTTTCTTTTTGCTTATTTCAATACATTAGAAGCAGATTTGTTATACGCGGTAGATTTGTTTTCATGTTTCACTTTTATACGCATCACATTTGTTTTCAGGTTTCAATTTCATTCAGATAACATTAATTTGAACTTATGTTGTTACGGAGTATAATTTTATTCGTGTAAGGCTCATTTTGATAATATTTATACGCACTCAAATAGATGGGCTCTAAGAATGATAATCAAGAGGGTCGAAATTTTGTATGGACGGATGATCTCGTTATCATATTTTGTGAAAAATGTATTGAGTGGATTAGGAAGAATGGCCTAACCACTCCTTTCAAGTGGAGACTAATCCAAAACCAATTTGAAGAGCATACTAAAATGGTTTGCAACACCAAGAGTTTCAAGAATAAATTTGATTCCATGAAACGAGATTGGAGGCTTTGGATTTGGTTGAAACAGGAAGACAGCGGATTAGGATGGGATCCTGTGTATAATAGACTAGACTGTACTGTAGAGTGGTGGGATAGGAAAATCAAGGTACAAAATTATTCATTCATATCATAGCTAGTTAACATCTCAAATCGTAGAATTATTACGTTTTCCATATAGGAGAAACCCGATGCCAAGAAGTTTCGCCATAAAGGAGTGCCACCTGCGATTTTTGAAAAGAGCTTTTCCCCTTAATATTACTAAACAAAAGCTGATTTCCAATAATGTGATCACATTTTTAATTGGACAAAAATGTGACAAAGATGGTTATGTATTTGGAATGATATAAAGTGATTGCCAAATATTTATGTCACTGTCAAATTTTCATGTCACTGCCGCCGCCCATGTCACTGCTGCTGCCGCCCATGTCACTGCCGCCGCCGCTCATGTCACTTCCGCCGCCACCTGTATCATTGTCGCCGTCTGTGTCAATGCTGTCGGCCACAGCGACACCTCCGTAGTTACAATTCTGCGGTGACATTTTCGTAGTGACATCTTCATCCCAACCTCCGGCCACAATGACATTTCCGCCGTCCGTCCACCAATGTCGACGGCCACAGACCATCACCGCAGACCACCACCGCTGATCATCACTGTGGACCGCGGCCATCAACCGCCTCCCCCACAACATCCCGGCTGCCGCCATCTTCCCCCCTCCCCAAACCCCTGCCCCCTCCCCAAGCCCCTGCCCCGCTCCTTGACCTACCCCAACCACCCTCCCACCTACTCCTCCAGCCAGCCAGCGCAGCCCCTGATCCACCCCTCCCCATCCCCAATCAGCTTTGCTGCCAAGCCGCCGCATAACAAACCTTAACAACCGCCCAGCGCTATCGCCGGTGAAACATCCTATATACCAATGCTACCCAGCGCGCTCACCGGCCGTGCCGTCGTCAAACACCGTCGTGGCCCAACACCGCCCCCACTACCAAGACCAAACCTTAGCCGACGCCACACTGATTCACGAATGAACTGCCACTACCCCACCCCAAGATATCTCTGTCGGCAACAACATACGTCATCGAGGGATTGATGAAGAAGGCCATTGACGACCAGATCTGGAATTTTGTCTCTCTGGTAGCAGCGAATGAGATCTGGAATTTGAATGTTAGCAAGGGAGAGGGAAGTCATGAGCTGGGCAGAGGGTAAGTGATGAGGCGGATGGATGTTAGTAAGGGAGACAGAAATTCATGCGCAGAGATGGGCTGGGAGATGTGTTCTGCTCCCGGGGAGATGGGAGTTACGAGCTGGAAGAAATTCTCCCTTCCTTGGGGAGTTACTTGTGTAACTTTTTTGAATTTAATCGGTCACTTTTTGGGGTAAATGGATTTTAGTCATATTTTCGTCCAATGAAAGTTGAGGGGTGATACTTGTGTCATTCTTTCTTTTGAAAAATGGGAAGAAATTTTTGGCGGTAAAGTAGCAACAGATGTGAGGACGGTAGCACCGTTACAAGATGTTGAAGAGCAACAGAGCATTGAAAATACTTGTGAAGATGGTGGAAATGGGGGACCTGCCGAACAAGCATATGAGGTGTATTCTCAATACAATGCGGCATTCGAGCAAATAGAAGATGATGATTTTTGGGTTAATTTAACTCAAAACATGGGTACAAATTTTTCACAAGGTTCAAAATCAAACACTTCACAAGCCCCACAAGGTTCAAAATCAAACATTTCACAAGCAAGCGGGCATAAGAAAAGAAAAAGAAGAGAGTCAGGTGGATCGATAGCCTTTAAGGAAAACTTAGCAGAGGTTAATTCATTTTATGGTGAGCTATTGGGACCTATCAAACAAGGACCAGGAATAGGTGAAAGCAGTTACGAGGGTTCAAGAATTTTAACTATGATCGATGTGTTGAGCAGAATGGCCGAGGATGGCCGGATGGATAAGGGCGGTGATATGTGGAACTATGGACTAAGAATAATCATCACTAATAATGTAAGCAGAGAGGTGTTTTTGCGGCTCAATGATGACACCACAAGACTGGATTGGTTGAAGATGATGCATGACACTGAGAAAAAATGATTATAATCTATCGCTATAATTCTTTTTTGTTGGTCAGACTTATAAATTATTGTCCGTGATTACTTTTTAGATGTGTTGCCATTATTTTTGATGAATTAGGTACGTAATGGAAGATGATCAAAGGAAAGCACTTTCCTTATTTTTAGCATTATTTGTTCTCCATGAAAGTGAACTTGTTGCTTATTATTATTATAAGCATATCTACAAAGAACCTTGCATGACTTCAGCACTGACGGGAGATGCTTGGATGAGAGAAGTGTTGACCGGCCATCCAATTCGATGTGTGAATGCTTTTCGAATGAGTCAAAGTGTTTTCAAGAAGTTATGTGTTGACTTGCATGCAAATTATGGATTAGTCTCGAGTGATAGAATATCAGTGTTCCAAAAGGTGGGTATATTTGTATACACCCTAGCTTTGGGATTGTCTGATAGGGATGTAAGTGAGAGGTTTCAACGTTCGGGTGAAACTATTAGTAGAGCATTTCACGATGTTCTACAAGCAATTACTGGACGGACAAATGTTTTTAGGGGCCTTGCGAGAGATTATGTTAAGCCAAATGATTCTACATTCAAGTTCATACCAAGATATATATTTAATTATGAACGTTACATGCCATACTTTAAGGTAATCCATCTCCTAATATTTCATTTTGACTTTGTATTTCATTAGTATGTTTATTGTTTACATGCACTAAATTGTTTATGTAGAAGTGCATTGGTTGTATTGATGGCACACATATTGAAGCATGTATCCCAGTACAAGAACAATTTCTATATACAAGTAGAAAAGGCATTCTGACATGGAATGTCATGGTAGCATGTGATTTCGATATGTGCTTCACATTTATATCTGTTGGATGAGAGGGATCTGTTCATGATGCACGTGTTTTTCTACACGCAATTGAGACAAGATCTATGAACTTTCCACATCCGCCTCAAGGTATGTGACTGTTTGATTTTTTATAAATTTATTTTGTATAATAAACTAAACCCGTTCTTTGTAGGTCGATATTACTTGGTAGATAAAGGCTACCCTGATCGAAAAGGGTATCTGGTACCATATCCAAAGATCAGATATTATCAGTCCCAGTTTGAGAATGAGCTGCACACTAATGCTGAGGAAGCTTTTAATCGTGCACACTCATCACTCCGGAGTTGTATTGAGAGATCATTTGGAGTACTTAAGAAGAGATGGAGATTATTGAAAAGAATGTCAAAATTTAGCATCAATACACAAATTGATGTGATAGTGGCAGCCTTTGCATTGCATAACTATATAGTCTATATTCGGAAGAACTCCAGTACGTGAAGACTTACTTTTCAATTTCATTGAAAATAACCCGGACTATGACCTAAGTGAAGAGCTAGAGGATGCACACGAGACAAACTCAAGTGATGCTACATATACTAACACATCAAGTGAGATGAAGGAAGTCCGCAATAATATTGCCAATTTAATTTGGAATGGTAGTCACTAGTATAAGAGAATGACACTTGTATGAGTTGCAATATACTTTGTTACATTCAAATTGATTTTTGTTTTATTTTTATTAACGTTAAAATCATAAGTTTTGAGGAACCTAAAAATCACAATATTTTAATTGGGATAAAAAAATCATATTCTTTCGTTTTAGCTATGTGCATGCTTGTATTTTATTTTGTCATTAATTAATATTACCTTCGTCCCAAAAAACTTTGCCATTTTAAAAAATTTGAACGTTAATTTTGATTAGTATAATATTATGAAAATTATAAAATTAAATACTTTTATGAAAGTACTTTTAACAAAGAACATTTTTATATAATTTTTATATTACAAATAATTTTCAATAAAAAGATATAGTTGATCAAAGTTTTGAAAATGACAAAGTATTTTGGGACGGAGGAAGTAATATTTGTTCATGCCCTTAATTGTAATTTTATAATTTCAGCTACTTAAAACAATTACTTTTGCCAAACATGGCTATTTAAAACAGTCGGCTTATATGAAACAGCTACGACCTTTTCTACATGCAAGCTTTTCAGCTCAAAAAAGCTAACAGTTACTAAAAAGTTTTAAAAAGGGTCTTTTCAGCTTCTGGAGCCAAACATAGCCTTAACATGGATGACGGGTCGCTGGACATGGATTTCCGGAAAGAAAAACAACCAAAGGTGTGGAAAAAATAATGCTCTCGCACTCATAAAATTGAATTTAGTTGGGGTTACTCAGCCAGTTAACGGCCCAGCCATAAGACAAATCACACCAGACTTAAATAGACTAGGTCAATTCAAACCAAACTTAAATAGACTAAATCAGACCAAACTTCGAAATTATAAAATACACAAAACCCATACATTCATTAGACCAGACCAGGCCTATTCAAGCCAGGCTTAAATTGACCATATTGGAAAATTTCAGTCTAATTAATAACATCCTTAGACTCAAACTTCTGATCAGGTATCAACTTATGTAATTTGCCTTGGGACTGAAATCGATTCAAGTGAAAATATTCTTAAAATACATCGTGTTACAGTATCGGAAGTTTTTAGTATATACTCCCTCTGTATCTAAAAGTTCGCTACACTTTCTTTTTTGGGATGTATTTAAGAAATGTTAGGTACTCATGTTTGGTTCACGGTTGGTTCACGGTTTTGGGAATGTGATACCGGTCCGTTTGGTTTGGGGTTATCTCACTTTGAGACCGAAATGTGATACCTAGAATGTTAGATACTCATGTTTGGTTCACGGTTTTGGGAAAAAATCGGGAAAGTTACATTCCCGGGAATGTAATATGGAGAGGAATGTTATACCCTTCCATGCCATAGGTTATATCACATTCCCGGGGATGATCTAATTTTCTTCCGAAAATACCCTCAATTAATTATCGCTTTTCATTAAATTTCTCTATGTATTCAATTTTTATCACATTTGAATTTTGTGATTTTACAAAACTTTCAATGTAGTTTCTAAGTATGTAAATTTTATTTACTAAAAATAATCTTATTATTGACAGGGATCAGTTAATTTTAGAGGTTTTTCATTAAATATTACTAAAATATAAGTTATGGACAAAAATATTACTACGGTAATATGTATAGTCACTATGATGTAAAGTTGAACACTGTCATGGTCAATAAAGTTACTATTATAGTCATTAAGTCATATTTTTGTTTTCATTAACATCGTTTCGGTTATATATTTGTCATTATTTCTTAATTTTATAGTCAATCGAATATCTAGATTGTGTGATAACCTTTTAAGTGGGACAAATGGAGTATGTTTTTTTAATTATATTTGAATGTCTATTCTTGTTATTTTCATAATTCTTTTTTCCTTAACATTTAAATTTTTGAAGATATTTATGTTATAAGACTTATAGATTATTTAAGTTTTTAATGAGTGGATTCCAAAATTTAATGGCAAAATTGATCATTTTTTCTTTAATTTGAAAACAAGTTTTACGAATAACTTGAACATTTTTTGAATTTAGTTTGTTTCAAATGATAATAAATATATGTAGATTGCTATTTGAACAAAGTTTTTTTCATCTTTGTATTGGATCTACAACCTCTTACAATTATACCTAATTAAAAATAATTCAATTAGATTTGATTTTAATAATTATTAAGATATTCAATATTTAAAAGGCATTGAAGTAATCCATCATATTTGCAATATAAGATATCTTTTAACCAAATAAATTAATGTCGCATTCCCTTAATCTTAACCAAACACAAATGGGAATAAATTGAATACATTCCCATCAATCTAACATACTCAGTAATCTGACATTCTCATCGTAATCTGACATTCCTTGAACCAAACGTCACCTTTAGAGAACATAAAAGTTTGCTTCACTTTCTCTTTCTAGTATGTTTTTCCTTTATAAACACACAATTATATTTACTTTTTCTACTTTTTATGTTGTCTTTCTTACTTTTCACCTTCTCTCATATTTTATTCTACACTATTCATTGCCCCTACTATTTTCCTCTTAAATATCGTGTCAAGACTTAATGCGGCGATCTTTTAAATGCGGAGGGAGTACACAATATCACAAATCATACTTAACACATAATTGACACAGTCCAATACGACGGAGGTAATAAGTAATTGTAAGTTGTATCAAAATTCGGTATTTTATCTAACCCTCTATAAGTAATTCATTTACACTCCCTCCATCCCATTGAACTTTGCCAACTTTGCTTTTTTGGCTTTCCCGAAAAACTTTATCGTTTTCCTATTAAAGCAACTAATTCTTCACATTTCTTTTTTCCCAGCACAATTTTTTATTCTTATTTCTCACTTATTTTACCCTCACAAAGTCTGGAGGAAGGTAGTACTCCCTCCGTCCCTAATCTTTCTCCCTTTTCGGCTGGGCACATTTATTAAGATAGTGGGATTTGTGTGGTGGAGAGTTGTGCAGAGGAGAGAGAAATGTGTAAGAATGTGTAAGAATGGTTGTGAACCACAAATTTTTTGCTAAAAGGGGGAAGAGGAGATAATTTTGAGACGGATGAAAAAGAAAAATTTGAAGATAATTTAGGGACGGAAGAGTATTTGTTTTGTTTTGAACGTATGTAGGACAAGAGATATATTTTGTACTTAAAGCTATATTCCGATCCCTTCAAGAATAAGTGGGGGCGGGGCGTGATTGAGAACAAAAGTTGGTGAGTATTTGGTATATAAAGGTGGGTAGGGGCATTGGGGGACTTAAGAAGTTAGTAATGATAGATAATAATAAAGCATCTATCAAAAGTTTCTGGGTGATATCCATATAATAATTAATTAATGGGAAGGCAACCTTGCTGTGATAAACTTGGAGTGAAGAAGGGGCCATGGACAGCTGAGGAAGACAGTAAGCTCATGGCCTTCATCCTCACCAATGGCCAATGCTGCTGGCGGGCCGTGCCGAAGCTTGCCGGCCTTCGCCGCTGCGGCAAGAGCTGCCGTCTCCGGTGGACTAATTACCTCCGCCCTGACCTCAAGAGAGGACTTCTAAGTGAAACTGAGGAGAAACTGGTCATTGATCTTCATGCTCTTCTTGGTAATAGGTGAGTATATATATGCATAGGTCCTGCACAATTTATTACATTCATTTATTTGACAATTATAATCATTTCTTGGAATACATATATTATAAGAATAAAGACGACGAAAAAAATGACTATAGTAACTTTTAGGTACTTGTAATTAATTTTACAGTATACGTAGTAATATTTTAAGTAAAACTTTTTTTTTCATTTTGATATACTTTTGTGTTATTTTCTTTAATTTATTTCTGCGTAAAAGTAGTTTCGATCAATATCCTCAGTATCTTTTCACATAATTTAACTCATTCAACTATTCTAGCCTTTGGAATTGGGGCAATTTACATATTTACATTCACGGATTTATCTTCAAAATTTATCTACCATTTTTCTCAGAAATTAAATGAAAAATCTATTTGGGTATGCCAACTGTTTTTAAGTCTGTCTTTTAATCTTTGTGTTAGTTTAGTGCAATAACTATACATATTCCACGTAGATAGATTCTACTTTAATTTTTTGTTTCGTTAAAAAACAAGCCACAAGTTTATCATTATTACACAAATGAAATTAAAGTTGGATCATGGAATGGAACAAAATCAACAAATGATGAAAACGCATGCATGCCTACTACCAGGGGCACGTGGCTTATTCGTCAATCTAGTACTGGATTTTTAAGGCAATACCGGTAAGGCTACATTCCTGAATCCAAATTTTAGGTTATTCGGATATGGGTGCAGTTTTACTGTTTTAGAGTACGCGTAGGAGTAAGCGGTCCAGCTTAGATGGTCGCGAGCTTACTCTTCTATATGTGGGGGCGTAATTAGGGGTGACCAGTCTATGCTCTGATTCATTCTAAATTTAAAAAATGTCTATATTTTTAGTGTATAAAATGTCCAATGTTGCAATTAAAAGAGAACGGATGTAATATTATATTAAGACTTGAAGTTTGATGAGTAGTCCTTATTAGTAGGTTACAAAATGAAGCGCTATTGGAACTTAATTTTCAAACGCTTGGAACTGATTTCAAAAATATCCTTAGATTTAGGTTTTTTTTGACAGGAAACTAACGTATTATATTAAAATCAAACTCGCAGTACAGTATGGTAAAATACAAACAATCAAGTAAACCCCGACCTCTATCCCAAAATGACCAAGAGTCTAGCGCCCCCCTCACTTCTAGATCAAACATAGAATAATCCGCCCCGAAAGAAGCGAGACTAATCGCTGAAAATGTGAGAGCTTCAAGGCTATTAGCGACTGAATCAGTCTGATTACCTCCAAAAAGTAATCTATCAATTAAAACAAAACAAAGCATCATTCTACCCCCTTATTGTTTATCCTAAAAAGAACAAAATAGAAATAGTAAAATAGTCTAGACTGAAAATAAAAAACTAGAAATAGTAAAGCCACCTTCCAAATCCTAGTGGCATATTAGCCAATTTTCATGACCCTTATTTACATTCTCATGAGTTAAAAAATGAAGCTTATGGAACGTTACGTTTGGAGCTCTTAAAATTGTTTTTTACACTCATCATCCAAAAGAATATTATTTAAATAGTACGTAACTGTATTACGGAGTATTAGGGCTACTTCAAAACACATGTATTACAGTGTAGAAAAACATTCAGGGAAAAAAAATACTTAGTTGCACCAAAAACTATGATACATAAACATATTATATTGGTGCTCCTCGTCTTAATTACTCCCTAGACATAATATAAGCTTACTCTGATTATAATATAAATACTCATAAAAAGAAAATACATAAAAATATTATTTGTGTATCATAAAAAGATGTGTATCATATTTGTTATTAGTAAAATCGACCATCTAATGAAAATACATACTACGTACATACTACGTATAACATTATTTATCATAAAAAGATGTTTTTAATTTATATACTAAGGTATTAAACGAAAACTCATTGATGGAAAAGAAATTAAATAATCATATTTGACGTGATTATTTATTAACAATCTAGCATATATATATATATGATTCTCGTGGTTACCGTGCTAAATTCATATTACTACGTACACCCTAAAATGAATGGAGAAAGGTGATATTTTCTTAATAAATAATGGCCCCCATAATTTTCGTGATATATTTTCATGTTTGCATGTAGCTTGCTGTTCTTCTAAAGGACTCAAAATGGTATTTAAAAGGGACAGCTTGCCAATACATAATTGTTAAATTGTTTTCTTTGGGAATAAGGTTAAAAAGACATCAACTTCGAAACCAGTGTCGCTTTTGTTGTTATAGACACGTTCACAAATGCTTATAGCAAAACTAATCATCTTATACCGAAAACTGTAAAGTTAATCTCGTAAGTTCTGCGTTTGTCCGTTTTCAATCCCACAACTTTATAAACTTGCAGATTTGGAATTGTAGTTGCTGAATTTGTCTATAATAAGGACACTTACACCGGAAGGTACTATTTTCTGATCTATTTGTTGGAAAAATGTGTTAAAATTGGATTAAATGGTCAATTTAAGGTAATATTTTGAGTGAGGTCCAGTTCCGATTTGGATTGGATCAACGTGATTTCAGATTGTCCTTGTTAAGGGCTACAATTCGATGTGTGGTACATTCAAAACGAATAACAGATGAATGAGAAATTGATTCTCGAAGTTCACTCGTTGAAATGGAAAAACTGAGAAAATGATGAGATTCTAGAGTGATTTATCCCACACCGAAAAACCCAAGAGATTTTCAACCCCTATAAAGGTAACCCTCTTTGATGAAGTTAAGATTCTTAGGTGAAAAGCTCTCTTTGTGCGCAAGGGGTGATAAAATCCCGAAAACAGCGAAAAAAAATTGCGACTCAGGTGCGTGAAAAAAATTGAGACTTGTCCTCCAAAAATCTTTCTTGTTTTTTCTAGACACATCCAACACTATTTTTGGGTTAAATCAATTCTTTGAGCTACATATCCTTTGAGCTGAAGAAGTGGACCATCTTTCATCATTTGACCTTGTATGATCAATTCAAGGGTTGGTGAAAAGATAGAGACTTGGCTGCTTAGTGCTCACCTACATCGATTTGTTTACTTTTTGTCTTTCCCTACCTACCCACCCTGCATGCTTCAAGTTATCCTTCGACCAAGTCCGGGTGGTGACCGGCCAATATCGTTGTCATTTTCAATGCCCAACTTGCATTTGCTTCTTCAAAATTGAGTCATCATTCAATAAAATGTGATTACACTAGTACGACTCAAAATTATACAAATATTGTCGAATATAGCATGGTGATTAAACTAACCATGAATTAAAATTATACAAATATTGTCAAATATAATCCGTAGTATGAGATAAACTTAATAAAACGGACTAAAAATACAAATGTACGTGACAAAGATAATAAGATGGATAGATTATTGTTTAGTTCCTACAAATTTTGTTAAAACAAACTGAATTTTGCTACGACTTGTTAAAAAACAGCCTCGTTTGGAGAAGGGTGCTAGGAGATTCTCATGGGCAGGGGGCAAACCACGACCCCCTCCATCCGCAATTTGAAAAATACTTCTGATTTTATAACTTTAGAGCCGTTTGGTGAACCTGTGTTTCGGCTTATTCATCAACTTTTTCATCAAAAACATACGACTTCTGTCTCAAATTGATTTGCAAATTTGACTTTTGTTGATCAAACAATTTCGTTTTCTTCACTTAATTAGGATGTCAATTTTTAGTTATATTCTAATTTGGAGTTTACAACATTGAAGAGATTTTGATGCATGTAGTTTATGAATATGTAAATTTTAATTATTAAAAATTGAATTAATTATGCATATGGAGGATTGAGTTTTATTATTGGTTGATCAAACAATTTTGACTTTGCAAAACAAATTGGGAAAAGGGAGTAATTTTTGTTATTTCTTGCGCTGAATTATTTTACAATTAAAATAAGTAAGGTTGCGAACACTTTTTGGCCGATTTGACTAAAGTTCTTGTAGAGGATTCTTTTAGCTATTTTCAAATCATTCTTTCTTTAGGTTTTCATGTCATTTTTTCTTTATTTTAATATAAATTTTTCATAATTCAATAGAATCAACCAATCCAGGCACTTTAGCAAGAACTTCATAATTTTCAGCAGAATCAGTCGATTCAGCTAATCTCAGTGTTATCAAACCACCTCATAGTGTAAAAGCTTTTTCAAATCTTTTGTATCCGCTCCCGGCGATTAGAGTCCGTAAATTGTGAAACAACGTGATCAATTGGGAGTTTGGGACTTGGGAAATGCTCTTCGTAAGTAGTAGTACAAGGCCATCCTAAACTCTAATTAATCAATTAGGGATGAGATCAATCCGGTCTGGGTGAAATTTTTGGTAAACTAAAAATTTACGTGGAAGATATCGGATCATGACAATAAGGAACCAGGGACAAGTTCATTGTATTTGTTCTGAGTCAGGTTTTATGGGGTCGGGTTCGGGTCGGGTCATGTATGGCCAGTTAAAACCCGAATGAGGAATCATGACATTGTCCTTTTATAGTTTAAAACATATTTTCAAATAAAATTACTAGAAAACACAAATCACAAATAATTACATAAATATTAGTCTTCGAAATCACTATCAGCTCAAATTCAATTAAAATATTCTATCTTAATATTGCGTTCATGATACATATAAACAAATTATATATATTGGCTTTACAAAAATATAGGTAAAAGAATTTAGGGAAAAATGTCAAATAAGTCCTTCTAGTATTTTCAAGGGAAAAATGTCAAATAAGTCCTTCTAGTATTTTCAAGGGAGAATTTGAGCTTGCACCCCATGTTTTGGGTGATATTTGACTTTGCATCCCATTTCTAAAATCATTAATGTATGCATCTCATTAGCCCAAAATTTTGAAGGAGTGAAGTGCAAAGTCAAATGATTTTATAGTGAATTGGGACGCATACATTCATTATTTCGAAAATAAGATGCAAAGTCAAATATCATCCAAAACATGGGGTGCAAAGTCAAATTCTCCCTATTTTCAATCCATCACTTCGGTCCTTCTACTCAGAAAAGTATCAAAAAAGTATTATTTCTCTAAAAATTGATCAATTTGACCATTTATCAAGTTTTTGACCTATAATAGTGGGTTTTTTTTATTAAAAAACTTTAAAATTTGTTTAAATTTGAAGAAATATATAAAAAAAAATGTGAAAACTTTCAGAATTTTAAAAGTAATATTTTCAAAATTTGATTTTTTTTATATTTTGCGAAATTTCAGAATGTCAAAAATTTGAAGAAGTATTTTCAATATATATTTTTGTATTTGTAAATATAGAAAATGCAAAATTTGAAATATTGCATTTTCTTAACATGAATGGTACTCAAATTAGGATGTTTAAATAAGGGCAGAGGGAGTATAATAAATTTTATTCATTGTATAATTTTTTTCCAGTTACTGAACTTCATGCTTAATCTATATTTAACTTTTGAAAGAATGACTAAAATATGACCTAAGGATTTTGAATAGACAAAAATATTACTCCCTTCGTCCCTAAATTTACTTCCAACTTTCCCTTTTCGTCCGTTCCAAAAAGAACTTCACTTTCTCTTTTTGGCAAAGAATTTGTGGTTCACAGCATTTCTCTCTCTTCTGCACAACTCTCCACCACACAATTCCTACTTTCTTAATCACCGTGCCACTTTAATTTGGAAGAACATTTAGGGACGGAGGGAGTTTCATTTTATACTTTGGACAAAAATGTGACCTCACTGAGAATGAAAAACTATTAAATAGTGATGCATTTATCTAGAATATTCTATGTAGAAAAGGCTAGAGATGATCTAGAGAGTTAAAGCTAGAAAGTATTCTAGAAAATTCTCTACTAGAGAATTCTTATGTAAAATCTAGAGTAATTAGACATAGATGTAGAATACTCTAGAATCATAGCATTTAATAAGGATCTAGAATGATCCTCTAGCTCCTATAAATAGGACTCATTGTACTCATTTGCAAACCAAGCAAAACCAAGAAACATCAATACAATACTACTTTTCTAGAGACAAGAGCTCTCCTCTAAAACACATCATCTACATTACACCTCACTAAAATCACTTATTCTACTCATACAACCAACAACCTCTTCTATTTTCTAACAAGTGGTATCAGAGCTTGTTCGATCATAAGCGGGCATTATGACGACATCAAGCTTCTCGGTATCAACTCCGATGTTCAATGGAGAAAGCTATGACTATTGGAGTGTCCGTATGAAGACTTGCCTAGAATCACATGATCTCTGGGATATTGTTGAAGAAGGAATCATCATGCCGGAAAAAGGAAGCGACGACGCATCAACTTCCGAGGTACGTAAGAAACAAAAACAGCAAAATGCTAGAGCTCTCTATCTTCTTCAACAATCCGTTTGTGATACTATTTTCCCGAGAATAATTCGTGCTACTACGGCAAAAGAAGCTTGGGATATTCTTAAGGAGGAATTTCAAGGAAATGAGAAAGTTAGAACTATTAAATTACAAAGTTTAAGAAGAGAGCTCGAAAATTTAAAGATGAGAGATTCTGAAATGGCAAAAGATTATTTCTCTCGGGTTATACATATAGTCAACGAAATGAGAACTCTTGGAGAAAACATAACCGACGAGAGAATAATCCAGAAGGTCCTAATCAGTCTCCCTGAAAAATATGATCCAGTAGTTTCGGCTATTGAGGAGTCAAAAGATCTATCAAAAATGTCCATCACTGAATTAATGGGGTCGCTAGAAGCACGTGAGCAAAGGCTAAACAGACGACACGAAAGTTCATTAGAAAGTGCCTTCCAGTCTAAGCTCAACATTAAAAGGAATCACTCGAGAAATGGTGAAAACTTTAAACCACATAAAGATGGGAATTCTAACAACAAGGAGAGGAAGACGAACTTTCCACCATGCAAAATATGCAAGAAGACTAATCACTTAGAGAAAGATTGCTACCATCGAGGAAAGCCACAATGCAGAAATTGCAAGAGGTTCGGGCATGAAGAAAAAGATTGCAGAGATAGAAGAAACTATCAGGCCAACTATTCTGAAGATTTTAAGGAGAAGGAGTACATGTTCTACGCATGTCACTCAGCCATAGAAGCAAAAGAAGAAGAGTGGTACATCGATAGTGGGTGCAGCAATCACATGACATCCAACGAGACCATCTTCCATGACTTAGATACCTCTATCAAGACAAAAGTCAAGATGGGCAATGGCGATTTGGTGGAGGCAAAGGGGAAAGGTACCATTGTCATAGATACAAAGAAAGGTACGCGCTTTATTAGAAACGTTCTCCTAGTGCCACGCCTTGCACAAAATCTACTAAGTGTTGGCCAAATGATGGAAAGTGGATATGCCTTGCACTTTGAGAAAAATTCTTGCCGAATTTATGACAAGAACAATAATCAAGAAATTGCTGAAGTAAAAATGGAAAATAATAGAAATTTTCCTATTCAATGGCAATATC